AGGACAGGTGAAATATTATCATGTAAAGCAACCATAAACACATGAAAAGACCTAGGTTTACAATTTATGATTCAAACTCTACTATCTACACAATATACATAGACATAAAATGTAAAAACTTAAATATCTTAGAAACAGTAGCCAATCAGTTGTTTTATTTGTCATATCTGAATTCAGCACATCAAAATACATACTAAATAACACATTTTATCTCTGAAACAGACGACTTCTCAAAAGTAGACCAATGTAATTAACCATAAGCTACAATTTCCAAATGCTCATTCTTTTTCTCTAAACAGTATTAGAAAAAAGAGCTTCATAGCAGTATTCCTCAAAGATTTTTTTTGCTTTATTTACATGTTAAACATTTCACACCTCACTATGAATGTTAAATTTTGCAGTCATTTCTCTTCTGTGGGTTGAATTTCCGTTAATCTTTTTCCTTTTTATGTAGAGTTTTTTTATAGCATTAAAAACAAAGAATTTACTGTTACAATGAGTCATTTATGTCTCAGGTCTTCTCATGTGTAGAAATAATGAAGATTTTTATTAAAAACAGCGGTGTATTTTCTCCTATACAATGGCAGGAAAATGGCAAGGAGGTCTGCTTCTTCTGAAGTACGTATATAAGAACAGAGGACTCCTATTAAAATGTTAACAATGGAACTTAGAAAAGGATAGAATAGCTCTTTCTAAATAAATTAATTCTTTAACTGTTCGTAGAATTCCTCTAGCTATCCTTTATAATTTGTAAAAGTAAAATGATTTTATCAACACTGAGAAAACAAAATTTACATTTAATACTGAACTACTAATTACTATTCTTTATATTCATTATTACTCTGGTTGTAGAGATGTTAATGGTGATGACCAAATTAAGGTTCTGTAGAACAGTGGTTCTCAACCAGGGGTCCGGGGCCCCATGGGGGGCTGCGAACAGGTTTCAGGTGGTCCGCCAAACAGTGCCAGTCAGGGCCGGCTCCAGGCACCAGCCAACCAAGCACGTAGTTGGGGCGGCACCTGGAGGGGGGCAGCGCTCCGGCCGGCCAGGGAGAGCAGGGCTGCGGCCTGGCTCTCCGCCCTCCTCCCGGTGCTCCGGCCGGCCGGGGAGAGCGGGGCCACGGCCGGGCTCTCCGCCCTCCTCCCGGCGCTCCGGCCGGTCGGGGAGAGCGGGGCCGGCCTCCCCCCGGCGCTCCGGCCGGCCGGGGAGAGCGGGGCTGCAGCTGGGCTCGGCGCCCGCTCCCGGCCGGGGGCGGCGGGAGGCTTTTTTGCCTGGGTCGGCAAAAAAGCTAGAGCCGGCCCTGGTGCCAGTGTTAGACTTGCTGGGGCTCAGGGCAGAAAGTTGAAGCCCCACCACATGGGGCTGAAGTCCAGGTCCCTGAGCCCTGCCACCCGGGGCTGAAGCCGAAGCCTGAGCAACTTAGCTTTGTGGGGGCCTCTGTGGCATAGGGTCCCAGGCAATTGACCCGCTTGCTA